TATTGTGTATTGGGAAGTTTCAAATAAAAGTCTGAAGTTCTGACAGACTAGTATTTAAAATATTATTATTAGCTCAAAATTACAAGTTATTCAATAACAATTCGCAGTTAGTATGTCAATTTTGTGTTAACTCTTCCAGTGACATTAAGAACACGTATTCAGAGCTTTCGTCATTTGAAGAAATGTTTCTTACCAAACTTGTTTTTTTTTTTTTTTCTGAAGGAGAAATAATCTAATGCAATTTGTTTGTTTGCAACTATATGCATGATAGACATATGAGTTAACTTTATTTTCTTAAATGAAATTATATCATTTTTTACACATTCATGCGTTCTAATATTTTCTATAAATGAAAATAATAACTTAAACGTATGTTGAAAAACTATTCGTTTAGGAGCTATTTTAAGTTTCGTAAAATTAATATATGAAGTTTCTGTAAAATTAATATATAAAGGATGAGAAAAGGCAGTATTGGTACTATTTTTTTTTTCGTCTTTCGAAATTTTAATTAAAAATGAAGTTGAAATATCTCTTAAACTAATAATTTTTCAATGTGAGTCTATATCTTTTCATATAGGATATCAAGCTACATCCATTGACTCGATGAATCAAAAAGTATATCATTCTGTTTAAAAAAGTAAAAATAACAACGAAATCTCTTACAAAAATCTCTTATTCGAAAGAAAAAGAATACATACATCACAGAATGTTGTCCTCTAAACCAACTCCCTTGCAAAAAATTTTTTTCGTACAACGCAAGCCTTGGAAGTTATTCGAGGTGAGCACATTTCGTACACTACTTTCTATGGTATATAGTGTGGTAGTGGTTACCATAGATATATATTGATAGATTATATATTGTGGAATGAATATACGTAATGTTTGTATGGAAGGATGAGTGTGGCGAGAATGTGCATATAATTGTGGTGTGGTGTAATCTGAGTGTTTGATATATTTCATAGCAGAAGAAAGAACGAATGAGAGATGTATGCGAAAACAATTGAGCAAGCATGGTGACGAGAAACAGTTGTGATCGGGGGAGTTGAATGAGAGACGCGAAGCATGAGAGAGGAGAAACAAGATTGAATTGATAAGAGAGTGAATCAATAAGAGTAAAACATTATATGTATTTCATAATGTATATTAAATCTATCAATAATCAGTGTTCATTATTCGATCCACTAACAAATGGTAGCAGAGGTCCGTGGTTACTGATAACGTTTTAAGAAAATATTCGTGAAAGTGAATAATAAAAGGTGCAAAGATGGCCGATGCGTGAAATATCGTGAGCGTTGAACCGCTTGACGATTCGAATTACTTTATATGGAAAGAAAAAATAGAAGGAATCCTACGATCGAAACGATTGTGGAAAAAGGTGATTGGTCTACCGTTGGAAGAACCAATCGTAGGACAGGCAAATTATGAAGAAACACTAAAAAATTGGGATGAGTGAGATAATAACAATTACGCAGCTAGGACCATTATGATTAATACAATGAGTAAGGTACAATTACTGAGGTATAATAAGAATATGAATTAAAAATGTATATATTATGAGGGGTTCGCTCAGAATATGATCCTAACGTGAGAGTACTTGAATCACAGAGGAATATATCAGTGAGTGATATAAGATTCGCATTAAAACGGGAGGAACTCGGAAGAATAAAGAGAAAGGAAGAAAAACCGAGCAGAGAATACGAAGCAGTGAGGAAAGTAAAAGAGGGAGCTAGAACTGATGATAATTGCTACAACTGTGGCATCAAATATAGCACTTGGCAGCTGATTCTAACCGAAGAAAAGAATGCTTCACCTGTCAGGGATTTAATCACATTGCGGCGAATTGCGGTGAACCGAAGAGAAACGCTCCACCAATGAGAAGAGGACTAGGAGAAAATTTTCAGGGTGGGCGAAATGCGAGACAACATTGTGGAAGGGATGAATCCACGTTGAACCCGTGAAGAAGCAGTGCTGAGAGTAAGCGAAATTCCAAAAGAGGACAAACTGTATTAGGTACATGAGATGGATGAGAATGATATGCATGTATGTGAGAGTGATAATTACCGTTTATGGCTGTTAGATTCAGGGTCTACGAGTCACATGACTTATGACGAATTAATATGTGATAATTTTGTTGAAGAAAAAAGGCGAATTAGTACGGCAGATAGGAAAGGAAAGATATTAACCTCGAAGGGAATTGGTAATGTCATTGTGAGACAAGCTTTTAGAAATAATAATGTAAAATTGGAGAATGTATTGTGTGTGCCAGAGCTAAATTCGAATTTACTTTTAGTTGCGAAGATAACTGATCATGAGTATGATATAAATTTCAATAAGCACAGAGCGATAGTGTATAACAAGTCGAACGGAATTCAAATGACAGCAGTTAGAGTGCAAGATGCATATTATGTAAGGACATCCATAAACCACGAGAAGACTGCGGCAATGTCAACGGATGATGATATAGAGCACAAACGACTATGACATGCAAATAAAGACATCATAGAAGAAATAAGGAAAGTACGTGGAAAAGGGTATGCGTGGGAAGAAAAGCATGTAAGAAGTCACATCCGCGACATGATGCGAGGAGAACAAAGCGTATTATGGAATTGTGGCATACAGACTTGATAGGTCCGATTAAATCCTCATCGTATGGCAAGAAAAAGTACGTACTAAGTATAATCGATGATTTTTCGAGAATGATGTTTATACAGCTACTAAGGGATAAAAATGAAGCAGCTGAAGAATTAAAAAGAATAATAATATTAAAATAAAATCAAACGGAGCAACTGAAGAGAATTAGGTCAGACAACGGTGGAGAATATCTTGGAAGAAACTTGAAAAATTGATTTGATTCGAAAGGAATTAAACACGAGCTAAGTCCCCCAATGACTCCTGAATGTAATGAAGTAATCCCATCCTTAACATGACAAACCACGGTTCTCATGTTTAAAAGCGCAGTGAAAAAACTAACTATGAATAAGGACTATGAACAAATAATAACATATTAATATTAAAACACATAATGTATTCTAAAACTTACAATACGTCAATCACAAATATATGCAGGAAGTCAAATTTATTTCTTCATGAATCGAGGTAGAAAAATCAATTGAAGTCCATCCCGAATGTGTTATGCATATTTGTACAACATTACAATTGAAAGTAAAACACATAATAGAATTATGAATTGCAAATCTCACCATAATACGTTAAAAAATTGCTAAAATCTCTAAATCTTCATTTGCTCTTGCATTTTTATTATTTAAGCGACTATGTCACATATGTACGTCTTCATAGATGAAATGATTAACACAATCTCACCGTAAGTGTAGAAACTAATAATTTCTACACTTT